AACCAGTTTCAGTTTTTGTGTGGGCATCTCAAACCAGTTTCAGTTTTAGTGTGGGCATCTCAAACCAGTTTCAGTTTTAGTGTGGGCATCTTAAACCAGTTTCAGTTTTTGTGTGGGCATCTCAAACCCTTATGGACATCTCAAACCTTGGTTTTATTGTGCACATCTCAAACCCATTGCAGTTTTGTTTTTGGCATCTCAAACCCATGTCTCGAACCCTTTTCAGTTTCGTTGTGGGCTTTTTAAACCAGTTTTAGTTTTTGGGGGGGCATCTTAAACCCATCTCACTTCTGTCATGGGTGACTCAAACTAGTTTAACTTTCGTTGTGTGTGTCTCAGAGAAGTTTCAGTTTTTGTATGGGTGTCTCAAACCCATCTTAATTTTGTTGTGGTTGTCTCAGACCCTTATGGACATCTCAAACCCATGTCTCTTTCTTGTGGGCATCTGGAACTCGTTTCAGTTCTAGTTACTTCAGGTGTCTCAAACCCTTCTCAACCCATCACAAACTAGTCTCTAACTGAGGCAGCCCAGTAAAATACTGCCTTAAACTATGAACCATGCCGTAGTGCTGACTCATGTTGGACCTACATTTAGTTTTTTTATTGAAATAAAATGGCAGGTGTAGATTGTCCCTGTCGATTTGTTCGACTTATTGCTGAACAAGAATTTTGCTGATTGTAGGAGGAATTTTCCCACTTTTAAAAAGAATCACGGCACGACGTCATAAAACGTGAGGGATAAACAAAACGTGATTCTCTGACGTCAGCTATCGTCTGCAGAAGAAGGGAGCGCTGACGGTGATCCGGTGACGGCTTCAAGTTTTCCAACTTTACAAACTCTGACTGGAAGATCTGAGATGGTTTCATCCACCATGTTGCCACCAAACATCGAATCTTCTGCCTGAGAGTTTTTGTTTATAAGTTCTAAACTTTAAATTCATCCATTTCAAATTTCAGAGTAGATGTTGATGATTCCATGCAGCTCTGGATTTATCTGTTTACTCATTTCTGCTAACAGCGTTCTTATTCAGAATAAACTGTTGACCCATTCAGAACGTTCAAGTTCCCACAGCTGAGTTTATTAAATATCAGCTAACGTTATGTAAACTTGTTGTATTTGGAGTTTTTTGGTTTTTTTAGATCTTTTCTCCTCCAAGTTGTCCTCGTGAATGTCAGAAGGCTGCAGCATGAGTCATGTGTCATGTTTTTATGTCATTCCTCAGTTTACTGAGTTTTTCAGTTTCATGTGACAACTTTAAATCAGCACCAGATTCTTTTTGTTTCCCTCTTGTCAGCTGCAGTAATGTGTTTTTTAAAGTTAAAGTCCTGCTGACGTCCCTGTTGATGGA